GGCGCTGCCCGGCATCCCTGGGGAGGGCGCGCACGGCACAAAGCCGCGGGGTTCCCTGCGCGGTCAGGCAGAACGCCGAGTGATCGGATGCTGACTGCGAGATGCCTTTTTCATAAGGGGGGGGTTCCCACGTTAGTGGCGCGAACCTGTATTCTTTGCATCGAAGGAGCTTAGGTTTTCTAGGACTACAGGATGAGCACATTGTGCATTTACCAAACAAATGCAGGAGCATTTGCTTTTTGATGGGCATATAGGCAAAATTTAGGATTAGGACCTGTGTGGTGCAAAGGTTGGGGCCTTCACCACTGCTAGTGCAAAATAAAATGGCTGAGAACAACACTGGCCAAGTGGTGTCATTTGCACAGCGCCATGGAGACATCTCAGCTAGACGCCTCCCCTGCATCCCAGCTGTGCCCTTCGAGCTGTGAGTACCATCAACTGCTGAACAGATCATCAAAACTCCCATAAATGGCACCTCAAGATTTATGGCAGGCCCAGCACAGGTACACCCAACTTGTGCTTCCTGCTCGGTGCCAGTTTGCAGGCGAGGTTCAGATGGTGGCCCAGTGCAAAGCGTGGCTGTGACTGCACCGACACCGCACAGCCCTGCACCAGCGCTGGGAGAGGTGCTGCCGCAGCTGCCTGGGACTGAGTCACGCTCTCACCTCTTGTCGCACAACGGCTCAGGGTGCCCAACACGCCAGCATGGGACTGCTCGGCTTCGCTCCACCTATCTTGAGTTACAGCTCTCTGTCTCCATTTTACATCCCCGTTAGAAAATCTAAAAATAGATGGTTGGAATCAATCCTATTGCAATTTCTCAGATCACTATCAAGAATTGGCCTGATCTCTTAGAGTCGTTCTTAAGGCAAACTCTTAGTTTTACATCCCCATATTTGGCTTTTGTTTTGTTTTTAAGCGGGGAAATCTAGTCTGTGTTTATGTGCTAGAGCAGTAGCTGGAATGATATCTTTACTCTTCACCAGTGCTTTACACACATGCTTTTTTAACTAGAGTTTTCCTTACGATTGTTAATGCTGGAGCAGGAATTTCCTATTGCATTCCTCACAGCAGGAGAGCAAGAGGGAGAGGCTGCTCCTTCTCTAGCAATATCCTTTTCCACCCTTCCTGTTTATATAGCATTTTTGTTTAACAGGATGGAGCCATCTGACAGTGACTTTGCCCTAGCTATAGCTCCCTTGCTCTCCATATGTTTAACCTGGTTATAGCCCACTTGCATAGCCTTTCGGGACTGCTTTTCCTTCACCTCCTGGCTTGAGCTGAGGAGCGGGTCAGGAAGGTAGGGTCAGGAAGTGCCGGGGCTCCGATGTGACACTGCTGCTTCCCTGCTGCACCCAGAGCTGTATGGCTGTTCTCCAAGGACATGCTGGGGAAAGGACAAGAAGCAGGTTAAAACCTCTCCCTCTGGAAAGGAATAGCGGCGTTTCCAAGATACAAATAGCTTGACAGACCAAAAGGGGGGTCTCAAAACACTGAGTTTTCCAAAGCCTCCCTGGCCAACCTTTAGTGAGCAAGAAAAACAATGGATACTTCAGTGCCCTGTTCCTCTATCTTCGTTTATCTGACGGGAAGTTGAGGCCCGTCCTGGTTCACAGCTTTCACCTTACCTCAGGAACAAAAAGGTGATTTTCACAGGTGCCGAGCCCATGCATCCCGACTTACGAGTCCACAGGCAGTGGCTCTGAAGAGCAAGAACCACGGGATTTCTCCCTGCAAGAACAGAAGTGCAAGATGCGATGTCAGCCTCATTCTCACTGGAACTGGTGACGATTTGGGCACTGGTGTCACTCAGAACCAGCTGGCTCAGCACTTTCCTCACCCCCTCAGAGGAAAGGAAATGAAACAATGAGCCTAAATGAAGGAGGTGCTTTTTTCAGTGTCTAAACTGAGCACTTCCACCAACCACCTTCATGCTGACCGCAAAACCTACACTAAAGTGGAGAGGACACCTGACCCCAGCACTGTTCTCTCCTGACAAGGCAGAAAGCTGAACTGCTGCATCTCAAGGTGATCTGCAAATACGGTTCACCCAGTGATAGCCCAAGCCCTCAATCGCGTTTTGGTGCCCAGCTTTCACTGGTATCCCACTGCAATACGAGGAGAATCCTGCGCTCCCACAAAACACATACTCTGCATTTTCCAGTGCGTTCCTGGGTATGGTGATGAGGATCTGGAAAGAAAACATCACGTTAGCTGTGATCCTTCTGAGCAGGCAAACCCAACCTGAATTCTGGCCGGCTGGATGCAGAAGGAGCCCAGATGGAGTCTCAGGTACTTTCAAGGACTGCTCGCTCTCTGTTGCTCTGGCTTACCTTGGCTATTTCCAGAAGATATTCCAGAAGCAATTTTCTGGTAGATCTGGATTTCGCCCTAGATTTTTACAGGACAAATGATCTAAGAAACTGTATGGTGCAAAAAGCAAATGCCAAAAACAGAAAAAAAAGCTAGTACCTAACTGATGGGAAAAACGACTATGTACATGTTCTCAATATGTAAAATACAATTTATTGTATTTAGCCCATTCATAAGTATCAACACAATGTAGTATGTTTGAAACAAACATCTTACCAATAAATACTATCTAAACATTAATATTAATCTTTTGATCAAATGCATACAGTGTATTGACTCAATATTGCACAGTGAGCTCTATATGACATTTCCATAGTGCATTCAGTTTGTTACAGCGATAGTTTGCCACAAATATTGCAAAGCATCAGAGTTGACTTTTCCAAGTGAAAACAGATGAACTATTTCGTTAGGGACCGAAGGCTGATACAAATGTCGGTTTCCTAGGTTAATTGGTTATGGATTCATGGAACCTAATGTTTTCATGAATGAGGAGACTTTGTTTCTAATACAATTTTTATAGAACTGTAAAAAAATCCTACTTTCAAATAGAATGAGCATATTATAATCAAACTTATCTGAACAGCCAACTCCAGTGATCAGTGAGCTTGTTTTCTCTTGTTTCAATCTAAATATAAATCATATCTTTGATCCTTTCAGAGATGTATCTCACCACTTGCATTTCAAAGGCCAGACCATGCAAGCCCTCAGCATTACTCCAGCACTTTGCTTCCTACGTGCCTCCGCTCAGGTTAGACTCAGTACCCGTCAGTTTGAGCAGAGGTGACACATTCTAGTCTCAATAGTTTTCAATGTATAAATGCAGATACAATGTCCCAATACTTCTATAATTAACTGTATCTCAGCTTTATCTGGTTAAATCTTAATTCTACAGCATCAGCTCCGCATGGGGGTAGTCCTACCAGTTTGTATTGCATTACTATGCTCACACGGAGGGCTGGGAGCTGCCAGCAATGTGGCCGGCTGTACTGCTTCCCTGAAACCCAGCGGCTCCTGGATCCGATGGGCTTGCGGGCTCTGGTGAGCACAGTATCAAACACTTGGCAGGACTGTGGCTCACAGCAGATTTTCAACAACTCACTGTTGTTCATTCTCAAGTCCAGCTATGACAAAACTATGTCCACACCAGTGGGAGATTACTGTTAGAGTAAGGACTAGGCGATTTGGCTTGTAAGGTTTGACCCGCATTTGCATGAACTTATACTGCTCTGACATTGCAGAAGGACCTTAAAATGGGCATATACTGCCTTAATACACATTTAAGCTACATTGCCCCGCCAAAGCGGTATGAGCTGCTCAAAATGCAAATAAGAATCATGATCATAGAATGACTATGACTGACTTGGAAAAGATTTGACCATCAGTATAACGGTGCTTAGTGCTTAGCGTGTAGTATCCTTTAGTGCTTAGCATGTAGTATTCCTTTAAGTAAAACAAAATTCACTCACCAAGTGATACAATTAAAAATTTCTAAGAAACTACTGGTTAAGTATTACCTCATGATTATGTAAATCATGTTTATATCCCTCATCTTTGCAGTTTATAATTTTGTATATATTTAGATTCTTTATATTCAGGTAACAGAGATGAAATACTTATTTCTATCTAAAAAGACAGTAGGAAAAAACAGGGATTGAAAGGATTCCTTTTTTGTACAAAAAATACATTTTTATGACAACTGCCAGTACCTTCACAGTATATCCTTTGCTCCTCTACTTACTACCAAGGTTCTGTCATCCATAACGCCATCATAAAATACCAGAATTGTTTTTCTTTCCACTTTTCAACACCAAAATTCAATGCACTACTATGGAATGTTTCCAAAGTCTTATGCTACAACCTGATAAAATCAGGAATCTTTTTTTCCTTTTTTTTTTTTTTTTTTTTTTTTTTTTTACTTTAAAAAGGAACTCAATTCATGCAAATAAATACATAATGTGCACTGAAATACTCAATTCTGTGATACAGGTGACTTCAGAGAAAAGTCCCTTTATAATTATCTAAACTAGTTCTAATAAAAGAAGATAGTTTCAAAACAGAATTAAAAACATTTCGTTTAACTACAAGTTGATGTTTGCTATGTGTTCAGGCAGATTACATTTTCTACCTAGTTGTGTTAATCTGTGGGTTCAGTGTCACTCTTTTGTAGTGTAGCAAATATTTTATTTCGAGGGGTGGCTTTTTTATGCAGCTTTTGTAGTCCAGGGTATCAGTCTTCATTTGATTCTGCATACAGGATTAAGCCCAGATCTGCAGAGAGAGAGTTAACAATCATTTATGACATTGACTATTCTATCAAACGTTTAATGAAAACTTGGCAAGGCAGTCAGATTAGTGGTACAGTGTATCAGCAGCAATGATATCATTTAACCGTAAGTTCAGAATTCCCTTAACTTTAACAGTTCGGCTACCACTTTGTGGGCATTTTTTTAATTTGAATTTTCTGTTCATGTTTTACACTGTGGTTTTATATCCTCGTTAGTCTCTCTAGAGTAACTTTTCCTTAACAACCCTTTCCCCTTGCCCCCTTTTTTTAAACAATCAATCAAACAAACAAAGTGTGCTGGTTTTGGCGGGGTAGAGTTAATTGTTTTCTTCACAGTAGCTGGTATGGGGCTGTGTTCTGGATTTGTGCTGGAAGCAGTGTTGATAACACAGGGATGTTTTAGTTCCTGCT